CCCGCGGGCTCAGGCAATCCACTCACCTCAGCCTCCCAAAGGCGCGGGATTACAGACTGAGCCACCGAGCCCGGCTTCAAAATAATATTTATCGAACATGTACTATGTGTAAATCATCACTGCAATTTACTTGTTCATAAGCTCTTTCACAATAAGGCACAATGCTTTATCCATATTTTTATCTTTATAAAAGATAAAAGCCGTGCTTTTTAAAAATTTTTAGACATGTTTTTTAATGTTGAAGTTAAATAACTCGGCAAAGTAAGCATTATTATTTTCCCTTTTACCAATGAGAAAATTAAGACCGAAGAGGTTAATTTGCTGTACTGACGTTTGACTGCAGAACTCAAACACTAAGCTAATTCCCTCTACTTCCCTAAAATTCATTCTTTATCTAAATCTCTCACAAATAGCCTGCTCATTTTTATCCCAAACCAGGATTTCTTGGAGAACTAGACTCCCTAAAATTTAGAAAGCATTCCCTTAAGTAATTTGGAACGCTCGACCTTAAAGTTCCCATAGAAGACTGCATTTTGCAAGCATATGATAAAAGGAAAGACATAGATAGGATCTGGTTTGGGAGGAGAGAGATGGTGAGAAGTGAAGAGGAACTGGCAGTGTTTCCTGTGTTCTTCACCCCACCCTACCCCAGTCTGTTTTGCAGTCTCCGAGAACGCAAAGAAAGAAAGCTGCTTCCCTGTGTGGGAGGAGACCCCAAATGTGTGAATGAACATGTATCAGCCTTAGAGCTTTTTAAAGCAAGGCTATCTCTGTTTTTAATTGGAGCCTTTAGCAGAAAATTTCTTTCTCTCTAGAAAGGGACAGATGACATTTGGGGACTTTTGTTCTAGTTATTAAAACCCTACCAGGTCAGGGAAAGTGGGGGCACACCTCATCAACAAGGGTAACTGCATAATGAACATTTGTATGCCTAACCCATACCTAACCCTGAATTGTACCCCACAGCTCCAAATTTTAAAATTAAAAAAAAACCCCTACCACTTCCTAGAATAGTTTTATGTCAAATCTTAGCAAATTATGTAAATTGCACTGTTTAGCCTATAAAATAGTGTTAAGAATGTTTTTATTTACATTTGACACTATTTAAAGTTAAATTCAAGCCGGGCTTGGTGGCTCAGCCTGTAATCCCGCGCCTTTGGGAGGCTGAGGTGAGTGGATTGCCTGAGCCCGCGGGTTGGAGACCCGCCTGAGCAACTTGGCGAGACCTCATCTCTACAATAAATCAAAAAATTAGCCGGGCGTGGTAGCACGCACCTGTATTTCCAAGCTACTTGGAAGGCTGAGGTGGAAGGCTCGCCGGAGCCCAGTTGGTCGAGGCTGTGGTGGCTGTGAGTGGCCACTGCACTCCAGTCTGGGTGACAGAGTGAGACTCCAACTCAAAAAAAATAAAATAAAATAAAAAATAAAAGCAATAAATCAGTACATGGAGACTATACATTGGTTTGATCTAAAAAGGCAGGACATTGCAAAGTAGGGACCCATAGGTCATAGGTAGATTCAAAGATTTTCTGATTTGTGATTGGTCGAGGAGGTGAAGCTTTGTCTAAAAATTTGAGATCAGCAGAAAACAATGTTAACTCTGAGCTGGGCACAGGGGCTCACACCAGTAATTCCAGCACTTTGGGAGGCAGAGGCAAGAGGATTGCCTGAGCCCATGGTTTTGAGATCAGCTTGGGCAACATGGTGAGACCTTGTCCCTCTAATTTAAAAAAAAAATTAGCTGGGTGTGGTGGTGCACACCTGTAGATCCAGCTACATGGAAGGCTGAGGCAGAGATTGCCTGAGCCCAGCAGGTCAGGGCTGCAGTGACCAAGAGCGTGCTACTGCACTCAAGCCTGAGCAACAGAGTCAGGCTCCAACTCAAAAAAAAAAAGAATGTTACCTTTGGCTCATGGGCATAACCTCCTCCAGGCCCTTCAGGAAGAAATTTAGATCAAAGAACAGTAGTCAGAGTTCAATCCTTACTTCCCCCTTATTTGAGGCCTAGGTGTCATTTGGTGAGGGTCTGGGTTTCTGAAAACTCACTCAGGGACATATATTAAGATGTTATCAGCTGGGTTCGGTGGCTCAGCCTGTAATCCCGCGCCTTTGGGAGGCTGAGGTGAGTGGATTGCCTGAGCCCGCGGGTTCGAGACCTGCCTGGGCAGCGAGACCTCCTCGCTACAATAAATCAAAAAATCAGCTGGGCGTAGTAGCGCACACCTGTAATTCCGGCTACTCAGAAGGCTGAGGCGGCAGGATCACCGGAGCCCAGCAGGTCGAGGCTGCGGTGGCCGGGAGCGGCCACTGCCCTCCAGTCTGGGCCACAGAGTGAGACCCTAACTCAACAACAAAAAAAAGAGGCTGAGCCTAGGAGTTTGAGACCAGTCTAGGCAACATAGCAAAAGCTATGTCTCTAAATAAATAAGTAAATAAATAAATAAAATAAATAAATTAGCTGGGGTGGTAATGGGCACCTAAAGTCCCAGCTACTCACAAAGAGGAGGCTAAAGGATTGCCTGAGCCCAGAAGTTTGAGGCTGCGGGGAGCCATGATCGTGCCACTGCACTAGAGCTTGAGCGACAGAAGACCCTGACTCATAGATGCAGACATACATACATACATACATAGTAAAGTTCCACTATGGAACAGCCTGGGCAACTTGATGAGACCTTGTCTCTACAATAAATAAAAAAATTAGCTGGGCATGGTAGTGTGTGCCTGTGGTTCCAGCTACTTGGAAGGCTGAGGCGGAAGAATCACCTGAGCCCAGCAGGTCGAGCCTCCAGCCTGGGTGACAGAGTGAGACTCCAACTCAAAAAAATAAAATAGTAGTAATTCTATAGCTTGTAAATATTAATTCAAACATTTTTTGAATTTATACATGAATAACAAAAAATAAGAATTTTGTCATTTCTTAAATGCCTGTTAAGTACAAGGCACTGTGAATACATTTTGCATGTATTATCAGTAATCTCCAAGATAAAACCCATCTGATAAAGACTGCCTGTGTGATCTGACAAGTTAGGTGTATTAACTTGCTGCTGTAAAGGAAACTGCACACCAAAGGAATCATGGAGCATGTCACCAAACATGGAAGAGAGAGAGTTATTCTAGGATTTGGAGAAATGATGAAGTGTAGATAAAATTTAAAAGAAGCAGTGTTTTGATAGCCTCAAAGCACACTAGGCTATGCGTAAAGGGATTATCACCAGGCCTGAGCTAACAACAGGATTCAGAATCCTGTTTCCTTGGAAACTACAATGTGAAGATAAATGTGGAATGTTGTGTTTGGAAAACCCTTATCTGAAGCTCTGCACCTGGGTTAGAAATCGAGGCTGCTCCTCTGTGCCTTAGTAACTAAAATCTCCTAGGTAAGAGTAATATATTTCATTGTTACTGATAATTCAAATAGCACATTTTCTGAGAATATGACTTTAAAGAAAAGGATCTCTCCGTGCTACGTTCTTTTATGAAGTAACAAAAAATAGTCTTCCCAAAGGCAAGATTAGCTCCTTGGTAGAGATAAGGCAACTCTAGAGATTCTGGATACTTGCCTTATGTTATACAGCTGTTAAGTGGCAGAGCCAGCATTCATATGATGTAGTAATTCTACTTCTAATTATATACCAAACAGAAATGCATACATGAATGTTCTAAAAACCAGGTTCACAGCAGCATTTTTAGGACCAAGCAGCATTTTTCTATACTTAATTTTTATTAAGTTACAATTTACATACAATAGAAATAGAATACAAAGATACTGTGTTCAGTTCAATGAATTTTGACACTTGTATACGTCTATGTTACTACCATCCATACCAACATGTAAAACATTTTCACCATCACCCCAGGATATATCCTTCACATATGCTCCTTTCCAATCAATTTCCCTCACCACCAGAAATCACTTTCTGAGTTTTATCACTGTAGATTAGTTTTTCCTATTGTTAGACTTCACACTTTATGTATTCTTAAGTATTTGACTTGTTTCAATTAACATAATGCTTTTGAGATTTAGCCATGATATTGTATCCGTAGTTTTTTTCTTGCTGAGTAGTATGCCCTCATATGAATATACTTATAATTTGACTAATTATTCACTTTTTTTTTTTGAGTTGGAGTCTCACTCTGTCACCCAGACTGGAGTGCAGTGGCCGCTTCCGGCCACCGCAGCCTCGGTCTGCTGGGCTCTGGCGATCCTTCCGCCTCAGCCTTCCAAGTAGCTGGAACTACAGGCGCACGCTACCATGCTCGGCTAATTTTTTTATTTGTTGTAGAGATGAGGTCTTGTCAAGTTGCCCAGGTGGGTCTCGAACCCGCAGGCTCAGGCAATCCACTCACCTCAGCCTCTCAAAG